TGTTCCCCCCAGCGGACCCAAACATCTCGGCAGCAGAGCGTAAGAATCTTGAGCTGCGGCTGAAGGAACGGGAGGACCAGCTGACCCCGATGTACCACCAGGTCGCCGTGCTGTTCGCTGACCTTCATGACCGTGCTGGCCGCATGCAGGAGAAGGGCGTCATACTGGTACTGTCCTGTTACTGTCCTGTTACTGTCCTGTTACTGTCCTGTTACTGTCATGTTACTGTCATGTTACTGTCATGTTACTGTGGGGTTAGCTAGTGGAACCTCCCCGTCGGAGTTGCCAAAAACGGCTGGGCAGGAGAAGGGCGTCATACTGGTACAGTTATAATGTTTAATGTGGGGTTAGTTAGTGGAACCGCCCCGTTGGAGTTGCCAAAAACTGTCAGGCAAAATTTTGTACTGTCCCATTGTTGAAGAGGTTCATCGGTCACGTGAACAGCTATTAGAATAGTCATCAAACAGTGACTGTTTTGAAAGGCAGCAAAGTTTTAAGATACCTCCGAATACTTGCCCTGCCCATTGATGGGATTGGGGGTGAGTTTGTCTTGTACCTTCTTGTTGTGATCTTGTATCTGTTCCTTGTAGGAAACTCTGGAATGGAGAATGTCTCGAAAGTTCTTCTACTGGCGGCTGAGACGTCTTCTGCTGGAAGGGAGAATTCACAAACAGATCAGCCAAGCAAACGAGTAAGACTGACAAATACAGCTTTGGCTTGTTCTGTTACGTTCCCTGCAAATATGGGTTATACAGAGAATTTGACTTCTCGGGTAGATTCTGCTGACTTCTCTTTTGTTACTGACTAGTTATTGTACATCTGCCTTGTAAGAGAGCCCCAGGAAAACTGACATGTAGTCTGCACCACATAACAGTCTGCATCACACTGCCAAAAGATTTTTCCTTGAAGACCCGAAAACCAGCTATGTTTCAAATTTGTGTGCTGTTGCAGAGACCTGAGTGTTGCCCAGCTGCAGGCCATGTTGTGTTGTTTTACATACATGTAATATAACTATGTAACAGTAAAACCGTGCTGTTGCAGAGACCTGAGTGTTGCCCAGATGCAGGCCATGTTGTGTTGTTTTACATACATGTAATATAACTATGTAACAGTAAAACCGTGCTGTTGCAGAGACCTGAGTGTTGCCCAGATGCAGGCCATGCTGAGGAGGTGGTTCATCGAAGCCGAGGGAACAGTTAAGGTACAGAGCCATGAGTTAATAAGTTAATATTAACCCCTGCAGGCCTTTGAGTGTGCAGTGGTTAGTGGGGCTGGTTAATAAGTTAATATTAACTCCTGCAGGCCTATGAGTGGGACAATAACCAGTCAGTTGTGCAGTGGTTAGTGGGTCTGGTTAATAAGTTAAAATATTAACTCCTGCAGGCCTATGAGTGGGACAATAACCAGTCGGTTGTCCAGTGGTTAGTATGTCTGGTTAATAAGTTAATATTAACTCCTGCAGGCCTATGAGTGGGACAATAACCAGTCGGTTGTGCAGTGGTTAGTGTGTCTGGTTAATAAGTTAATATTAACCCCTGCAGGCCTATGAGTGGGACAATAACCAGTCGGTTGTCCAGTGGCTGGAGGCCCAGCTGAGTGAAGAGGAGCCGCATTCCGTCATCAAGGACAACATCAACTGCCTGAAGCGGGACCACGTGCTGCAGCAGATCAGGAGGTGGGTTACTGGGGGGGTTGCTGGGGGGGTTATGTGTGTGGGTTACTGGGGGGGGGTTATGTGTGTGGGTTATGTGGTGGGTCCCTGGTGGGTTGTGTGGGTGGGAGTGTGTGGGTGTGGGTTACGTGGGTGAGTTACATGGGTGGGTTACATGGGTGGGTTATATGGGTGTGTAGCTGGGTAGGCAAGGTTTGAATGCGTGGGTATAGAGTTTATTAATAATTATGTATGAGCCCAGATGAGTGTAGGAAGGTGGGTGGGTTGCTAACTTTGGTTTGAGAAGTTACGAAAAGTGAGTAGTGAGTGAATTATGTCCTGTTCTTCATTCTTCATCTCTTCATCTTTGCCGGGGCTCAAAGATGTTATGTGAGCCCCGGCTACACCCCCATATCGCCCCTGATGGGGCACTTTAGGGGGGGTTCTGTGATGTGTGTGTGTGTGGGAAGGTGTACTGGGTGGGTTACTAACTTTAGTTACCTGTTCCCCCCAGCCTGGTGCAGGACAACCCCAGGTTTGACTGTGTGAGTGATGATGATTATACATGTATGATAGTTATGTGTGAGTGATGATTGTATTTCTGTTGTTGCAGCCTGGTGCAGGACAACCCCAGGTTTGACTGTGTGGGTGATGATGATTATACATGTATGATGGTTATGTATGAGTGATGATTGTATTTCTGTTGTTGCAGCCTGGTGCAGGACAACCCCAGGTTTGACTGTGTGAGTGATGATGATTATACATGTATGATGGTTATGTATGTATTTCTGTTGTTGCTAGCCTGGTGCAGGTACAACCCCAGGTTTGACTGTGTGAGTGATGATGATTATACATGTATAATGTTTATGTGTGAGTGATGATGATTTACATGTATAATGTTTATGTATGAGTGATGATTGTATCTCTGTTGTTGCAGCCTGGTGCAGGACAACCCCAGGTTTGACTGTGTGGGTGATGATGATTATACATGTATAATGTTTATGTATGAGTGATGATTGTATTTCTGTTGTTGCAGCCTGGTCCAGGACAACCCCAGGTTTGACTGTGTGGGTGATGATGATTTAGATGAGTGGCTAGGAAGGCGGGTGGGTTACTAACTTTATTTGTTGTTGCAGCCTGGTGCAGGACAACCCCAGGTTTGACTGTGTGGGTGATGATGATTATACATGTATAATGATGATATATTTTGTTGTTGCAGCCTGGTCCAGGACAACCCCGAGGTCGCCATCGACTCCATCGTTCACATGACCCAGCACATGACCCCGTCCCAGCGCAACGAGGTCGCCCGTATCCTAGCAACCATGGACACATCCTCGTAACACCCGTATCCTAGCAACCATGGACACATCCTTGTAATGCCCATATCCTAGCAACCATGGACACATCCTTGTAACACCCGTATCCTAGCAACCATGGCCACATCCTCCTGATGTCTGTATCCTAGCAACCATGGACACATGTTTTCTCCTGCTGAAATTGGCAGATTGTTCTGCAGCATTAATATGTACCAGTAGTAACATGTACATTGTAACATGCAGCATTAATATGTACCAGGCTCTAATAATCCTGACCCTGAGTCCTGGTAACTTGTTTGGAGTTTTCCTGATGTGGACATGCTGTTTGCTGTTTTCAGTGAATGACAATCTGATTTGTGAAATCTGATATGTGAAATCTGATATCTTAGTTAGATGTGAAATCTGAGATGTGAAATCTGATATGTGAAATCTGATATGTGAAATAGGATATGTGAAATCTGATATGTGAAATCTGATATGTGAAATAGGATATGTGAAATAGGATATGTGAAATAGGATTTGATATGATTCATGACAGTCTTGCTTAATTCTGAACTGAATGGATTGAATGAATGTGAAAATATTTAATGCAGTGATTAGAAGTGCGCCATATTTAAATTGTAAAGAGATGTTAAACTAGTTAGGAAAAAGGGAAGAATATTTTGTACATAATGGTCATGTGTAAAATTGGGACTTTCCATAACTCTGCCAAAGAGGCTATACATTTTTTAATAAGTACTGTAATGAGTTCAACAGTAGCATGTGTTCTAATAGCAGGCCAGCTGGAAACTTTGTGAATGTAGTTTTTATTTTTGTGTTTGGCAGGGTTATGATTAATATCTAGGTCCAGGAAGACAGGCAATAAAAATGATGTAAAGGACAGGTGTGTGTTTCATTACAATAGGACAGGTGTGTGTTTCACCTCCATTCCTTGATTTTCGTATTTTTGACCTTTGAATGGCTAGGACTTTGAGTATAGGACTATGACTCTGTTTTTTCACGCATCAGACTTTTATGTTTACTGTATGTTGTCTTACTGTATGTAACAATCTCTTGTGTAATTTTGCTGGCCCCCTTGGAAAACAGTTCAACTAATGTAAGCTGAATGGGGCTACCCAGCCGTCCTAAGATGAAATGAATAAATAAATAGTAGAATTATTTATTATTGAAAGTAATAACATACAATAGACTGATGAATATTTGCACATTTGTGTTTATACACTTATTAAATGAACCCCAAAGTGACCAGATTGCCGGGTGGGGGTGTCCCGTTTCTGATCTCCTTTTTCCTTTCTTGACCGACAAAGATATTAAAAGACTATCTCCAGAATATTTAGTAATGTATAATTATTGCAGGAATTTCATGTAATATAGTCTGAAAATACCGTCAAATCACAAATGACAAGAACGTAAAAACATTGCGTATTGGATGTCACCTCTATAGTAAAATGTAATCGTCCAAATTCCGACGCACCAATCACAATCCACGTTCGATAGACCAATCACGATCCACGTTCTATGCATACAAGTTTTCCCGCCAGAAAACTTCACATTCCGGAGGTGACAGCCGCCAGCGCTAGCCGCGCAGCCCAGCCCACGGCATTGAGGTAAGAATTTATAATTTTCTGCGGGAGAATTTCTTGTTTTACCCATGTATTACCTGGTATAGAGTCCATGGAGAAATCTGTTGTGTGTCCTGGCTTATTTTCGCTTATTTTTAAGACACTTCTGACAGGAAGTTTGGCGTCAACTTCAGTTTTAGAATGGCGGCATTTCTGACTCCGTGACAGGAATGTAATGTAAATTTTCCTGTCAGAAATTCCTTTAATTTTCGTCAAGTTGAACTTATTTCACATAGAAGTTGGTCTTTACGGTCAAAGCAGCATAAATGTACAATTTTTCTCCGCATTTCTTAACATTTCCTGTCAGAAATATCCTCGAAACGATATAGATAGCCCGGGTCTATCCGCCCAAGTTACTAGCTGCATACAGGACCGTTAGACGTCACCAGAGTTGGATATTGTCGGTCAAAAATTGAAGTAGAATTAATTTCCCTCCTCATGTTTACCTCAGAATCTTTAGATAAAATGTTGTGGCATCTAGTAGTATCACTTTTAGCTTGGTCTCAGCAGATTTGATCGGGAAAACTTTGAGAAATGTTGAGTAGCGGTCTCACGTAGGAGGTGTCCCGGGAAAACAGGCGAGGTTCCCCGTGTGTTAGCAAAACCCGCTACGGGCCTCGGCACCGGCTACATCGTCGGTCAAAACTTTTAAACAAATTAATTTTCCACCTGATGTTTACCTCAGAATCTTCAGATAAAATGTTGTGACATCTAGTAGTATCACTTTTGGCTTAGGTTCAGCAGATTTTATTAAGAAAATGTTTAGAAATGTTGAGGAGCGGTCTCTGGTAGTGGAGTAGCGGCGAAACAGGCGAAGTGCCCCGTGTGTTGGCACTACCTGGCACGCGGGACTCGGAACCGGCTACATCGTCGGTCAAAACTTTGAAACAAATGAATTTTCTACCTGATGTTTACTTTAGAATCTTTAGATAAAATGTTGTGACATCTAGTAGCATCACTTTTAGGTCGGTTTTAGCAGATTTAATCGAGGAAATGTTGAAAATGTTGAGACGCGGGAAAACAGGTGGTGTGGTGAGGGGTTCTGATCTGGCAATATCGTCCGTAAAAATTTAAAGACAAATTAATTTCTCCCCTCATGTTTACCTCAGAATCACCAGATAAAATGTTGTGGCATCTAGTGGTAGCGCTTTTAGATTATTTTCCCAAGATTTTATGGAGAAAATGTTGAAAAATGACGGCGGCTGACCGTTTGACTGAGCTGTCAATCATCGCTCGTGTCAGCACGTGGCAAGTGTACATGTTGTGTCAGAAGTTGCATTTAATTGTGATGTTCTCAGCAATTTTACCCCACAATTAGGAGATAAAATGTTGTTATATCTAGTAGTACCACTTTCAGGTTAGTTTTTGTAGTTTTATCGGGAAAATGTTGAAATATTGAGTAGCGGTCGGTCTCACGTGTGGGGCCCGGTGAAACAGGTGCGGGGTCCCGTGTACGTGTGTAGCCAGACCCGGTACGGGCCGAGGGTTGGGACGAACTATCAGTTACGATAGTTACAATCTTAATAGAGTTGAGCTTGACCTATTTTCTGAAATTCTTTTATAAATTCCCAAGGAATTTGATTTTTTTTAAATTTTGGGACGATGACGACTGACCGTCTGACTGGGCTGTCAATCATCGCCCTTACCTCAGACTTTAGTACGTACGGGTCGCAAGTATTACGCCAAAAGTTGTCTCAGAAGTGTTGTGTTCTCACAGATTTTCCTCACGATTGTCGAGAAAAGCGTAGCTGAATTTAGTAGTGCCAATGTGTTTTTTCTGGGCTGATTTTTCGGGATCTTACCGAAAAATTAGCATGGTGCTGACAGACTCCGTACCGTAGCGTTCAACCTTATGTTTTCGGTGAAATTTGGCGAGGTCCCCGCCTGGATGGAACCGGACTCACGGTCCTTTCCCGAGGAAATTAACATTGCAAATTCAGCGGTTTTGTTTCACTTAAACATGCCTTACATTTTCTAATTCATGTTGAGTTTTTAAATTTCTTATACCTAACTAAATACATGATAAATACTTGCAGTGAGTAGCGCCACCTGGTTCACCAGATTGGTACTGCAGAACGAATTCACTTGAAAATCAGGTATGACTCAGACTCTGGAATAGATGGAAAATTTCAACTGCACACTGTCCTGATGTATACTAAAGCTTCTCACCCCATTTTTACAGATCACCCTTTGCCTGATGCCGCTGTTTCCAGGTTGTTTTGAAGAACACAAGCATGAAGAAATGAAGACTTGTCCAACAGGTTAGTATAATACTTTGGTTTATTGCAATGCCATAAATTCACATTTAAAATATACTAATGTTTTTCCTCCTTTTTTTTTACAGATCATCCTTTTGGCCGATGTCACGGTTTCCAGTTTACTTTGAAGCAAGCAAGCTCAAGAAAAGAAGACAGCTTGTCAAACAGGTAAGTGTGTTTACTTGCAATATTGGAAATTCCCATTTGAAGTACGCACCAGGCATATTTGGGCTGTTGAGAAACAATTCTGACCTAAAGCTGAGAAAACTATTCCCTCTCCAATCTTATACATTCAAATTCATGCTGTTTCTTAATGACTTCTATAGATGTCTTTGCTGTATAATCATGCAGCTTAGAATGTTTCACTATTTGGCAAATGAAACCAGTCTTTTGTAACAATACAAACTTTTTACTTGTTCAATTGCTTCATACTTAAGTGATTACCAGACACTTTTTTGAGTGTTAAAAATGTGTGTACTTCAGTGGGGAATTTACATTTACTAAGTTAAACGTAGGGAACATTTTGGACATATTAAGTGCCTTGTGTAGATCTTTGATAACATTGACTAAAAGTACAGGGGTTCTAGCATAGCATTGCAATATGTAGATCTGTAAGACACACACACTTGATCCAAGATTGCTGTAGTCAGAGAGATAGCAGTATAATAGATCTGCAGATGAGTATCTATTGATGTTTTGGAAGTCAGGCATCAAAAGCTGTATTAGATTTAAATTGCAGTCGACTTGCCTAGTCCATTTTGTAAGTGATAAAATGGAAATGCAATGATGTAACTATGCACCAGTCTTGCAATGTATGTACGAGAAGTTTATTTTATTCGTCCGTTAGTGAAAGTTAAAGTAGCTAGGTTAAGTCCAGAAGACGACACCAGAAGGCACCACAGCGGATATACACATTAGATAGTGTTTTTTGAACAAAGATTATAAGTAGATAGTGAAAAAATCCTGAATAAAGTTTGCGGGACTTCAACTTTACGCAAGGAAAAGTGGAGTCCCTCTTTAGGCTTCCTACAAGTCACGTTAACTGGAGTAGAGCGGCGACATAGTTGTCAAAATGTAATTACTTTAACTTTCAAGTACTAAATTGAAAGTTTAAGTAATTTTTTGTTTTTATAAAAAAAATATACTAGAGCTTTTAGATCCTTATATATATCAATGGGTAATTTTCAGAAAAGTAATCTGGTTCTCATGGTAGTTTATGGTACTTTTAGTTTCCAACATTTGCATAATCACAAGGCACACCAAACCTTTAGCTCATGTCAGGCCAAAGGACTTCACTGAGTCAGACATTATAAGTTCTGTTGAAAAGAGAAGTTCTTTAGCCTGGCCTTATGATCAGCAAGAGGACTCCTAATGTTTATGTACCCAGATACCCAGGTGAGCAGCTTTGTTATTTGTTATACTAACCTGCATTCACCATCACCAACCTTGCTGTATCCTTGGGGGGTTAGGGTTCAAGTCAGCGGCAAGGGAATGTCCATTATGGCTTAGGGGCTGGACATTCACTACCTCCCTCACTGCCAGGCCTTAAAACCTGGTAGCTGCTTGGCTTGGACCAAATCCTAGACGTAGCTGTAGCTGTAGTTGTAGTACTAACATTATAGCTAACATTATGTATAGGTTAGCCATTGAGAAACTGCATGCTGTATTAACATGTGCTTTTTCTCCTCATGCCAATAGCCAAAGAAGCTCTTGCATTTATACCCACCCCTCTGCATGACAGCAGCTTTGCAGCGCAGGCACGCGGCGTGGCAGCAGCTCGCTACTGATTATAACAAACCACTTGTTATGGCTAACATTGTTGGTCATGTTCTCAGCATTGGGCAGCAGCGTCTTGAGTAGAGTTATGGCTAGCAGCAGCGTCTTGAGTAGGATTATAGTAGACATCAGCGTCTTGAGAAGGGTTATGGCAGACAGCAGCGTCTTGAGTAGGGTTATGGCAGACAGCAGCGTCTTGAGTAGGGTTATGGTAGACATCAGCGTC